CCAATTACACAGGATAGAATAAACTGATACGGATGATTATAATTTTTATGGCTTTTTGCTTGACGTATTGCTGATTTTTGATGCTTTTGTTTTTTTACAGATTTAAGAAAAGCTTTTTCTCTATTCTCTTAAGGAACTATGATTTATAGCAATTTGTAAACAAAATTGAAGCATTTATCTTCTTCTGCCTATCTGAGCCCTCCAAAAATGTAAAAACTCCTGATGAGTAAGTATTCTTATTCTCATGGCAACATGGTTGCTTGCATAAGTCCAATAAGAATCTGTTCTTCTTATAACAGGACACCATTGGAAACACCAGTTATAATACCAAGGCTTTGACTGGAACATCATATTTGAGAAAAACATACAGGCTCAGATATGACCAGACAGCTTTTGAGGAATGAAGGTTGACTTTCTGGAATAAAGCCACTTGGAAATATGGGCCTGGTACCATTCTTATGAGTTTCCAGTGACCTGGTAAGGTTGAGCAAAGGATGTCACTCCCTCTGGCAGGTACAAGAAACCTCAATATTTTGAGGATCTTGTGAACAGGGGAACTCACCCAAATCTGTAGGTACTGCAGGCGGAATCTGATGACAAGTTCTTGGTCTGACTTTCCTGGTTTGGGGAGGACCTTAAAGAGATTCCTTATAAAAAAATCCAGCAAAGCAGATTTGAAAGACCCTGTATAATCAGTTGCTATTCTTGCTGTACTTACGTAAATAATTATGCCAAATTTATTAAAACTAGACTTATTTTGCAAACCAGTTAGTCTTAATTTAGCTATGTCTAATGAAATTGAGGGTGATTTTAGAGAGAGAAAACTTGTGTTTCAATAAAGACTATAATACATATTTGTGGATGTTGGATTTTGGTTTTATCAATTGTCTTTAAGATTTTTGTTACATCTGTTAACTGGACTGGATCCTGAATTCTTCTAGCTTCCTGAAATATCTGGCTAGAAGCCTCCAAACTAACATTTTCAGGGGTTTTTTCCCCATCATTTTCATTAAAAATCATTGAAAACTAAGCCTGCCCTTTTTTTCCTGTAGCCTTACAAACTGAAGCTGGAGGACCAGATGTAAACTTAAGAGAGATTCATGTCTGCTGCTGTGCAAGCCACTCAAAAAGCTACCTGAGTGCCCGATGACACCATCAGAGACATTTCAAACTGCAAAAGATGCTTCGACCCTGACTTCTAGGAATCTTGATTATCTTCCCCCTGGGCTCAGGAACTGGTTTATAATTTGCTCCAACCATAAACCTTGTTTTTCTCTTTTTGTTTCTCTAGAAAAACTTCTTATTAAATACCTGCTTACTTACTTGCATGATACAGGCCTAACTTTGGGAGCCTAGCTGAATCACCACGTTATGAAAAGACTGGTTCAGTAAGATGAAACAACCTATGCCCCATTTCAGCAGGAAGTTGCTAGATCAGTTGCCGCCACAAATCCCTCAAGATTGAGGGATGAACATAAAATAGAGGTGAATTGATACCAGCCCTGATATCAGTTTCCCTACATCAAACTCAGCATATATGGGGTTAATACCAAAACACTCATTCCCTGTTTACTCCTGGCTTCCTGGCTCCAGAATCCACTGTCCACCATGTGGACAGACACTGCCAAGGACAGCAACCTGGATTCGTTATCTCCTCCCAGCACAGGCTGGTGGGAAAGCTGCCGACCAGCAAGGTCATGGGCTCCCTCCTCTCTGCAAGTGTCTCAAGGCCAAAGACAGGCTGGAGAGAAAGCTCCGACCAGCAAGGCCATATGCTCCCCCTCCCCTACCTAAAACCCCAAATAAAAACCCTTCCTTTTAGCTTTTTGGGGAGTTTGGGATTTCAGCACTAGCTGCCCTCTCTCCTTGCTCAGCGTTGTGCAAAAATAAAATTCCTACTTTCTTCCACCGCACCCAGTGTCAGAGATTGGCTTGCTGTGTAACGGGTGAGCTAACTCACTTCAGGTTCGATCTCACTTGGGTGAGTCCCTATCTCTAAATATTATTTCCTACAGCTGCAGAATATGAGGATTATTCCAGAAGTGGCCTGAACCCCTGGGGTGGTTGGAAAACATGTGCCTCTCATTCTTTCAAAAGAGAATAACAGACCACGTCCTCAGGTGGGAAGGAGCACGTTGTGTAACTACTGAAGGCTCCAGCAGAGAGAAGGGGCAGTGAGCGAGGGCTCGTGGGCCACGCGCATCAGTGAGGACAGGCTTGTGTGAGCACTGAAGGCTCCAGCAGAGATGGGGCAATGAGCGAGGTCACGTGGACCACGCGCATCAGTGAGGAGCAGCTGGGTTATGGTTAATAACAAATGAGACCTCGATCTCAGGGGCCTACTATCAGGTCTGTCCATCTCTCACGCAATGTGTCCACCATGTGGCTCTGCTGCATGGCACCTTCCCTCTGGACTCAGGCTGCCAAGGCAGGCTCTGTCGGGAATGCCATCGTTGCCACAGAAGAAGGAGAAGTTGTCAAGCCCATGCCGGTTCTTGCAGCTGCTCAGCCCCTGTGCCCTGCCCGAGAGCAATAAGGGATAGGGCTGCCAAATCCTCCAGGGAGGGAGGGGCCACCACAAGGGCCCTGAGCCTGGGAGAGCCATCATCCAGTTCCACACCACGCTACGATTCTGGAGACTATCCCAGAAGCAAGGACAACCACTGAATAAATTCTCCATTTGCAGCAAGTCACACTGGCCACAGCGAGGAGGGCAACAGACTGGAAACGGGCAAGAGTGGACTTGGGGAGAAAAATTCGGAGGGCATTTCAATTTTCCAAGTGTGAAACAGGACAGTCCTTTAGACGAGGGTGATGGCAGTGGAAGTGGGGAGACACCAACAGATTTAAAAGATAGGAGGATTGACTGAGGGGCCTGGGTGGCTATGTGGCCCCAGGGTGGGGAAGGAAGGGAGCAGGCTTGGCTTCTCCTGTCTCACCAGCCGCGGGCTCTGCTCTTTGGGGAAGGCCGGTGAGCCTATTCTCTGTTTGTTCTGGGGCTCCCTGTGTTCTCCCAATAAATCTCCCATCTTGTTCAAAAGAAGAGCATGAGCTGAATAAAGTAGGGAACCCCCGGGTTAATAAGGCGAGGAGCGCCGAGAGAACTGACGAATGAGTGACAGAGGCACCAGGGGCATTCACTCATGTCCCCAGCTGTTCAAAGAATGAAGAGAAGGTAGGCTCAACCAGAAGAAAAAGGAAGTGGTCCGAACTGAGCATACTCCGAGGGACCCCACCTCCGCCACCAACGCCTCAGGGTCTCCACTCCTCCAGGGTGCGGACCAATTTGAGCTGTGACAGAAGGGAGGGGTGGGCGGGAAGGAGGAGGGAAGGAGAGGCAGGCGACATGGACGGTTCCGAGGGACCTCTGCCTCATCCTCTCCTCCTGCCATGTGGCCTCTCTGTGCTTCCCTTTCGGAGTCCACAACTTCACCATCCGTGGTGGGCAGGCTTGGGAGTCACCAACACGCCAGGAGAGATTTTCTGTCGCAGCAGCAGCATTGGGCAGCTCGCAGGAGCTCAGAGCCCAGGGTCCGCACAGGCTCAGAAAGCCCCGGATCCTCCTCTGCCCTGGGTGCCCTTAACGGCCCGAAGGGGAAGGACTCAGATGAGCAACTGTGTGACTGTGGCCTCCTCTCAGCCCAGCCCGCCTCTGGAGCATCATGGTCACTGTCCGAGATGCTCACGGGCTGACTCGCAGCTGGAGACACACTCTGAGACCAAGCCCCACTGTGTCAGAGCTGAGGGGGTCCAGGACCTCCTTTTCCCCAGAGCCTGGCTTTGCAGATGAGAAAGCAGAAGCCCAGAGACGGGGAGGAATTCCCTCAGGACACACAGCGAGGGGCAGAGAGGGCGTAGAAGTGAGCTTTTGGACAGAACCCATTTCCTTTGGAAGGCTCCTGGGCGATGCCCCCTGCCCGGGACAACTCCCAGCGCTGAAAACTCGGAGGAGCACACAGTAGGTGCTCAGGGCCATTTGTGACTGAATAAATGGTTCTAATGGGACACCACAAGCAGGCCGTGAAGCTGGGAGCGGACCCCAAATCCTGCCTTTCCACAGGAACTCCTGCTCCTCTTTCAGACGAGCGAAGTGGGGCTCGGAAAGGAGGCGGGAGGGGAGCAGCGTGGCCCTGAGTCCCTGGTGAGGAGCACACCACCGGGTGTGGGCAGCCCACGGAGCAGGCTCCCCAGGAGACCGGGTGCAGAGGAGCGTGGCGGCTGCACCCTTGGTTACTGAATGTTTGGTCTCTGATCCCGATGCCCGTCCAAATAACGAGAACAGAGTCTTGGGGGAAAAGGAAAGCTTTCCTTCACCAGGCAGGGGCAGCAAAGCAAGGGCCAGGGGCCCCCAAATTGCTAGCTCCCCGTTAAGAAACGGGTGGGGCTTTTTATTTGGGGCTTTAGGTAGGGGAGGGTGCCGTGGCCTTCCTGGTCAGCGTTTTCCCATGGGCCTGCGTCTGGGGCTGCTTCCAGCCGAGGAGACAGAGGGTTTCTCAGCTGAGCGTCCTCGGCTATTTGTCTCCACGGGGGAAGGTGCACTCTGACGTCAGGGAGCCGAGGAGCTGGGCCTGGGCAGCCTCGGTTTCTGGATATTGTCTGGACGCTAGTTTCTCTGTAAAAGGACTTCAAGGTCCTGGGATCAGCATGACTTTAGTGGGAGCCCAGTGTGAGCCCATCTGGAGTTGAACAAGTTGCGAATTCCGTTTGGCTCTAGAGCTCGGGGGGTCAGAGGTCACAGAAACAAGCCTTTACCTATGAGTGTCACTAAGGACCCAGGGCCCTGGGGATGTGGGCCTTTAGTTTTAGCCCACCTCTGCTGGGTTCACTAAAGGGGAACCGACGGCTGGGTTGATGTGAACTCAGAGCCGGTCCCACCTTGGCTCGGCCAGGCACCCCATCTCCCACCTGGGAAATGGGGAGCAGTTAGGGCTGGAATCCTGGGGAAGAGAAGTTCTTTCTCTGTTGGGCTGCTGATGGGTGCTGAGGCCATCCCGGGAGTGGCGGTGGAGAGCCCCCCTGAGCAGGACAGCAGCACAGAGGGCAGGCAGCCAAGCCAAGAGGCTGGGAGGGCCGATCCCTGCTGGTGGCGTCGAGCACCCAGGTACAGCCTCACCTGAAGCTCTCTGCCTTTAGACGGCCTAGTTACAGAAATTGTTCTCTCCTGCTTTGTTCGTTTGCTAGTTCAAGCCCCTTGGGTTTCTGTCACAGGCTATCAAAAGAATCCTGGGGCCGGGTCGGCAGCATAGTGGTTAAGCTCCTGCACTCCTCTTCAGCGGCCCCAGGTTTGCAGGTTTGGGCCCCAGGTGCAGACACTCACATTGCTCATCAGCCATTGCTGTGGCAGGTGTCCCACATGGAAAATAGCGGAAAATTGGCACAGATGTTAGCTCAGGGCCAATCTTCCTCACAACACAAAAGGAAAAGAATAAACCTTCTGACTGTTCCTTTCAGCTGGCAAATGGAGCACTCTGGCATGGCTACAACATGGAGGATTTAGGCTAGCTTCAAGGAAGAACTTCCAGATAACACTGCAAGGCTCCAGTCTAACCTGGAGCCCAACTGGACTCAAGCCATATCTGTTGGGGGCCTGCTATAGACTGCTACCCAAGTTAATCCTCGTTTTGGAGGACAAGACTGAGGCTCAGAGAAGGGAGGCAAGTGGCCATAGCGAGGACGTGTGGACCAGGCAGCAGGCCCAGACGCTGCTGCTACTCTCTGGGGAGGTGGCCGAGGTGGCTTGCCCGCGTGCCGGGGGCTCTGGCGCCAGTGGCACGTGTGCTGGGAGCGCCTGAGCCATGGTGGCTGCACGGGCTGCCCAGAGGCGCCCAGAGGGCTTGCGCACACAGCGGGCCGGCTCTTGGCCCGGCCCCGCCCGGCTCCCCTCCCGGCTTTGTCTTGCTTTGCTTGGGGGAGTCACGCTCAGGTGACCACCAGGCCCAGTGTCTGGAGCCTGTACAGGGGAGGCCACAGCCTGCGCCGCCCGCCGGCCCTCCGGACACCCCTTCCTTCCTTCGGGCCTTGCGGGACCCTGTTCCCCACTTGCACAGCGGAGGTCTTTCCAGAATACGCAGGGCACCTCGCTCCTTCTGGAATGCGATGGGTCCCTCGCTGCCCTTTCCGCGTCACCCTGGAACGCAGCTCGGGTCCTGCTTTCTTTGCCTCGTTGCCTCCAGAGGCCGCCACAGGAGGGCCCGGGCGGACGGTGCACCAAGCTCAGCCCCCAAGGGCCCTGAGGCGAGAGCTGCCCACCAGGGACCTCGCACCAGCTGAGGAGGCTGCTGAGGCCCCGAGGGGCGGACACAGGGCTCCGGCCAAAGGGACCCCAAAGGCTTCGTGCTGGCTGGGGGCTTCTGGCCGTGCTGGGGGTCGAGGTCCCTGCGGTGTCTGAGGGCCCGCTGTGTGCAGAGAAGCAAGGACAGCGGCCGGCCCAGAGCTGTTCACAGCCCAAGCGCGGACGAGCCAGCCAGGCAGACAGAACCGCAGCTCACGGGCCGTTTCCAGGGGTGAAGGGTGGCGTCGGGGCAGAGGCCCACGTCTGCTGGGGAACTACTTAAGTACAGAGAAGTTTTAGCTGAGACTTGCAGGCTTCCAGTGAGATATGAGTTTGGCTCAAATAATGGAAAACTCTATTAAGAGTGGCTTAAACCACAAAGACATCTAATTTGTAATGTTTAAAAATGATGTGAGAGACGGGAAGTCCAGACGTGGTCTGGTGGCCCGACAATGTCATCGGTGACCCAGAAGCCACCCCCTCTCTATCCCACCATTAACAGAATGTTAGTGTCACTCCCTCATGACTGCAGTGTGGCTGCCTCCATTCCAGCCATCATATCTGCACAGTCAGGGTTCAACCCGGAAGCAAGGGGGCATCTCAACTCAGGGCGCCAGGGCAAAGGTAGATTTTCAAAGCTCATTCTAATACTGAAAACCTGGAAGACTACAGAGCGAATGCCAGGTGTCAAGCTTTTTGTTGGTATGAAATGGGAACGGCTGGCCACCTGCGACAGTCCCTCTAGGAGACGCTCTTCTGGAGCTGAGCTGGAGCCACTCTCTGGATGGAGCATGTGTCCCCAGCTCACCACAGTCCCCGCCACTCCCTCAGCTTGCCTCTGGCCCAGGGCCTCACCCACCTCTCTGGACCTGACCCCTGGAGGCATCTGAGTTTGCGGTCCTCCCGTTAGCCCCACGGAGCTTCACTTCTTCACCCAAGACGTGAGGACAGCAGTGTCCGGCCTGGGTTAGACGCACTGGGAATGCAGCCTCAGAGCAGGGGTTCACTGAGTGCCCCGAAGGCAGCTGAGACGAGGTGGGTGGGCGAGGCCCGGGACTAGGGGCTCAGGGAAGTGTCCCCGAGGAATGCTGTGTCTTCTGACTCCAAAGCTGCACCCTGACCTCCTGCCCGTCTCTCACTCCCTCGTGCATCACTGCAGCCAGGGATCCCGCAAACCCTGGGCATGCGGGGGCCACGGCCCCGGGGTCAGCACCAAGGGCACCAGCAACAGGCACCCATCCAACACTCCATCTCCAGCAGCTCAGAGAGCACAGCGCCCCCGAGGTACCACTGCCAGACCCACTTATAGAGAGAAACTGAGCCTCCAAAGGGACCAGGGACCCGTCCAAGGTCACACAGACTTAGAAAGCTAGAAGCCAGGTCTGCCGGTCTCTCACACAAGCAGACATCCCAGCCTCAGGCGATGACAACCAGGTGACCTAAGCACAGAGCGGGCTGCGTGTGTCATGGTGGGGGCGGGGTACTGGCCGGGCAGGCTGGGGAACAGATGCCAGAAGGGCAGAGTCTCGCAGGGTGAGGGCACTGCTGTCTGGAGAGCAGAGGAAAGGCGCTCCTGCTGGAGGACCAGCTCATGCTAAGGCCTGGAGGTGCGGCGGCCTGAGAAACACGGCTTGTACGTGACAGAGGGGCCTCTGGAAGCCACCGCCCTCACCTGTGGAGGCCCCTGGACTCCCCCTCCTCCCGGCTTGACCCCCGCCCCGGCAGCTGTGCCTCCATCCATCTCTCTGTCTGCCCTCCTCCGGCTGCCCCGAGGCCCAGCCCCTGAGCCGGCTCCTCCTCAGCATCCTGCTCTTTCCACATTGTCCGGTCTTGGCTCAGACACAACAGGTGGGTTCCCTCCCTTGAAGTGATAATTAAGTTTCTCATTACCGAGGGATACCCTCATGACATGTCCTCAAAGTTTAAAAAGAATTAAAATTGAGAAAAGAATCCAGACTGCTAACGGTCTAAATGAGCACAGGATGAGAGAAGGTCCCTCTGTTCCTGGTGAGGAAGGGGCCCTGTTCCCGGAGGAAGACGGGAGGGGGTGACCTGGACCCCCGTGCGCCTGTGGGCAATCCTTCCGTCTAGTCAGGGTGTAGCCATCGTCACACGTTTCTGAGCCCCTTTCTGTATCTGTCCCAGAGCCCTCCCAGCGCTCCCAGGCTGGAGAGGCCATCAGACAGTGAGCACAGCTCTGGGGGCCCAGGTGAGGCCAGAGGGGGCTGCAGGAGGGGATGTGGTTTGAGAAGGGCTTCATGGAGGCGGTGAAATCTGAGCAGGGTCTCCAAGGACAAGGCATCATGCAGCCAGGGCCTGGCACCCGGCAGGAACCAAATCCATGAGGAAAGAACGAGCGAGTGAGTGAAGAAATGAACGGGCGCCCTGACCTCCTGCCCGTCTCCCACTGAGCGGGTGCTGAGCGGGGGGGCCTGGCTCTGAACGCAGTGAGGGGAATGAAAGGGCCGACGCGAGGGAGACCGGGACGGGAGGCCGTCACTGTGGACACAGGAAGCAGGGAAGGCTCCTCTGAGGAGGTGACGTCGGAGCTGAGCCTTGTCTGGGCCATGTTTGTAGCTTCTGGAAACCTGAGGCTTTAACCTCTGGCCCGCGTGCGCATAGGGGACACGCCTTGTCCCAAGTCCCTTCGGCTCAGCCTCCTGCCTCCCTTGTCGCACCCCCACCCCAGGAAGAGCCCTCCTTCGTGGGCCCACATTCCAAATACAAACCGACCCATCCAGGGGCCATCCACACCCCAAGCACCTCCTCTCTTGGACTCTCACACTCAGGGCCACGGGCCCCCTGCCCTTGTCCCCCAGGGCAGGCACCGGACAGGCGGGACAGCCCCCTGCCCCGGAGCCTGTGAGTTATTCAGACCAGCCCGTCTGAGCCGGCTCACCCTGCCTCGCTGTTCCTCCCCGCAGAACCCACAGGACAGACTCCTGCCCGCGGTGCCCTGCTGTCTCGCCTCCTGACCCCCGGGGCTTCCCGGGTGGCCCTGCGTGGCCCTGCGAGCTCCGCCTCAGAGAACTGCAAGTAATCAACTATCTTCTCAATGGCATCGTCTCTGGGTCCGCTGGCCTTGCTGAACCGCACATGTTCCCTTGTCACTTTCTCTGTGAAACCTGCCCTCCCAGACCCTTTGCAGACGCTTAGCCTGAACAGAGGAAGAGCAAAGGAAGTGTGCGCCCTGTCACAGCATCTTCGACAAGGTGAACCTGGAATACACACTGGAGTTCCTTTCCCCATCAAACGGGAGGCTCCAGAAGAGTGGAGGGCACATCAGGCATTCCACGGACAAGACCAGAGCCCCGGGAAGTCCCGAACGTCTGTCTCCCCAGGCGGCGGGCTCGGGGCCAGGGCTTGACTGAGTCCCAGGCTCTGCCTGCCCACTGAGCCTGGAGTTTGGTGGGTTTTTTGGATTCAGCTTTTAATCTTGTCACTTTAGCAGACAGCCCTCAGTTCCTAACTCAACTTTCCAGCAATAATCCAGTTAGAGAGCTGCTCCCTGAGTCAGGTGACGAGAATCTGCGGACATCAGCAGGGAGAGACAGTTTCAGCCCGGCCTGTTTCACAACAAGGGGTGTCTTTGGGAGAGAGTGGGGGTGCGCAGTGTGGGAGGACAGAACAAGGGGACGCCCTGGGGGGCATCAGCGCCAGATTTGTTTCCTGGGGGCATGGACCTTCACGCATTAGATTTCCAGGGCAGCGCCCCGAGAGGGGAGTGGGTTGGAGCTGAGCTTGGCTGTCACCCCACGGAAAGGAGGGCTGAACACTGCAGGCAGCTGTGGCCCGGGGAGCAGCCTGACCCAAGGGAGCCCCCGAGAAAGTCGCCTCCAAGATGGCCATCCTGGTCAGGACAGGGTCCAGCTGCTGGAACAAAGGCCCACGGCAGAGTGGCGCACAGAGCTGGCCCCTCTCCCACGCTCAGTCTGGAGGCACACGGTTGGCGCTGGTCTGGCAGGGCTGCCCGGGAGGCTCCTGTCCCCGTTGCCCTGTCATCCCAGAGGAGACGCCCTCCTCCGTGTGGTCAGGACAGAGCTCCAGCCTCAGAGCTCGTGCTCCCGGCAACAGGACAGAGGGAGATGCAGATAGAAGAGCCTGCTTCTCTCTCCTGGGAAATATCTGGAAGCCGCACAAGTCACTTCCCTTCCCGTCCTGAGGGAGCGCTGGGTTCCATGCCCAGCCCGCTGCAGAGGCGGCTGGGAACTCTATGTCCTGGGTGGCCACATGCCCAGCCAGGAGTCAGGGGTTCAGTTGCTCTGGGAGGTGGACGATGCCATTGGGAGCCACCCGGACCTGTCTGCCACACCCTGGTAATGTTTTCTCCCCACCACCCCACCACTCCCCACCCTGAGTTGCTGTTTTGTGAAAAATGACCCATCAGACCAGTTGCATTAAGTAATTCATAATTCAGGAGTCAGCTGAAGATGCCGGGCCAGCGGGGCGTTCATTAGCTGCGCTGGCAAATCCCTGGTGGGGCCCCACACCGACTCACGGTCTCTCCCCGCAGAGCCCACTGTGCACCTGAAGCCAGAAGCATCTTCTCCAGCGGAGGCCGAGCACGTCGCTCCCTGCTCCTGCTCCCCTGCTCCTTAGAAACTGACCCAGGGCCCTTGCTGTGGAACTGAGCTTAGCCTAACGAGGCAGCTCAGAGGCAGGCGCCGGCCAGCCAGCCAGCGCCCAAGCTCACAGAAGAGACGGAGAAAGCCTCATCAGCAGAGCGTTCCGTCATCGCAGCTGACTGCTCTCCAGGCCTGAGCTGGGGGATATCGAAGTTCGGAGACGCACCCAGCGGAAGTGGTCCCAGAAACAAGGGCTGCTGGTCCACGTCCCCCCAGCCTCGCGCCTGCCTCTGTCTTGTACGTGCCCACCA